GTGCGCTCGGCGGTGGCAAATGGCGGCTCCTTCCGGCGGCGGCGGCGGCGGAGACCCCCCCGGAGCGGCGGACGGGCGGGGCGGGCGGGGCAGGAGCCGGGGAGTCGGTGAGGGATGGAGGGAGGGGCGGGGCGGGGAGGGGGAGCGGAGGAGAAGGGGCCGCGGCTGCGCATCCCCGCCCTGCCCCGCACGAGCAGGTGTCCCCGGGGGCGGGGGCCAATGTGCGAGTCCGGGGGGAGGGCGGATGGAGGGGCGTGGCCACAGAAGGGGAGTGTGCTCCAGGGTAGGAGAATAGGTGTGTGTATGCGGTTGAGGAGGGGCCAGTGGGTGAGGATGGAAGGTGAGTGATCAAAGGACGCAGGTGCACCAGGGTGGGAGAGGCTTCTGCAAAAGAGGAATGTGCAAAGAAAGAGCCGTGGTAGAGTCCAAAGAAAATGTGAGAGCCAAAGGAATGTGCGAGGAAAGTGAGTGAGCATGGATGCATTGGAGCAATAAGCGTTTCCACACAAAAGACTGTGTATATGATACATGCATGATGTAGGGCTATGGAAAGGAGGTGAGTGTATAAGGAAAGGAATCGGAGTATATGAGAAACAGAAAGATGTGACTGTAATGTGTGAGGAAGGAGAGTGAGCAAAGGAGTGCTAAAGGAATGGCAGTGTTTTTCCTGGTACTTTCCTGCCCTCACCACCACTACATTGAACACCACACGTGCACACACACTTAACCCCCATAAGGGCCTTGACTCTTAAGAGACGGTTCTGCTCCCTCATCACATTTTCTCTGCCTCACACTTACGTTCTTTCTCTCCTTCCCTTTTGGAAGCTGAGGGAAAAGGGATTCGGAAGAAGCCCATTGGGTCAAACACACTGGGGAAAAAATAATTAGTAGAAAAGTAATTAACAGAAGGGATGAGATGGAGCCAGGCACCCACCTCCAAAATAAGGCTCCTCAATCCGACGGTATAGAGGACAGACAATAAGGAGCATTCAAATGTTTTGGATGGATGTACGGAGGGATGAATGAATTAGGAAATGAGGCCGGAACCCAAGCAGATATTGACAATGACTACTGTTGTAAAGACAGTGAGCTGTGGTGACTTCTATGCAAGATGAGGCTGAAGTGGGGAGTGCTGGTAGAAGGACTCTGACAAACTTGTAGACATTCATCTTAGCCTTCCAGAAGGTTTACCAGCCTTGCCAAGGTAGCCAGTGAAACATTCATTTCACAAGCCCCTTAGACAGTTCAGGCTTAGAGGCTTTTTGTTACTAGTATCCCAGCTGTGCTTGCCAGCAAGGGTGAAGAGCTACAAGTTATCAGAATGGACAGAGGGGAATCTGTACTGACTTGTCTTCTATTTGCCCCAAAGCAAAGTTTATGTTTATCTTCAAGCCAGAACTCTTACCTCCTTAGCCAGGTGGTTAAGGAGAACAGGGGTTAGGGTGCAAGGGAGTGACAGAAAGGTTAATTAAAAGGTTTCAGATTTTAGTTTTTCACAAAGGAGACACTGATCCTTTCCTCCCCTCACTTCATCCCCCCAAAGAGCTGGGAGGTAAACAAGTTGAGGCCAACAAGACGAAGGAAGTCAGAAAAGTTTACTTGTTTACCTAGATGTCTAAGCAGAGGCCATTTGGGAAGGAGTCTGTGGTCTGGGCAAGGACCCAGGGTAATAAAGCTGCATTATGAGCAAAGAGGGACTCACAATGACCCCAAATGAATCAGCAGGTTTGCAGGAGGACACAAGTCATCCTCATGCAATGTGGTGGTCTGGATGCGCGTGGTAATAACTTCTTTGCACATACTCAATCCTGTATCTATCTACCTGTCTTGTCTGTATCACACACACACACATCATAGAATCTTAGCGCTAAAAAGAACTTTAAAGGTCAAATAGTCCTATTTCTTACGCATCAGTAACTTCTCTGCCACATGTTAGAAACCATTCTAACACCTCCACGGAGGAGTGAAGTTTGGAAGAGGGAGAGAGCATCATTACCTTGGCTTCTTTTGGAAGCCATTCGCCACGTTGGGTCACCGTTGGTTAATCTGCCTACCGTCCATTTTTTAATCCTAGCTTTGGCCTCAGTTGGGCATTGTCTCTACTCCCCATTTTATACCACCGACCGCTCTGTTGGCTACATCTTTATAGATAGTCCTATCACTACTATAGAGGCCTATGGCTAAGGCAGCAAAACAAAAACAAACATAACCGAGGAAGCTATAGCACTTAGTGAAAATCTGTTGAATGAATGAGTGAATGAAACAAAGATGCAAATGAGAAGTTTATGCCAAAGGCAATGGAGCAGAAAGGCAACAGTACCACTTCTCGTTTCCCGACCACCCCAGCACACAGAGACTGAGACATGTAGTGACACTGGAGATGCACTCGGGCTAGGTCTACCGCCTAGAGTTGGGATCTGGGTGGCCCAGTTGCCATGGCACCGCCTTGGGTTCCACCCTCTCTGGCCTCCCTCGGCCCTGCTGGGGTAAGGCAGTCAGTCACGTGCCTCACCGTGTACCCACACCTCTGCTCCTCAGAGCTTTGTCAAGCGGTCACGTGGGATAGCAACAGATCACGTGGCAGCCGTTGCCCCTCCACCTCCTTCCCCAGACCGCTCCCTTCCCTTCAAAGCCACTCTCGGCCGCTCCTCTGCGCATGGGCGGCTGGTTACGTGCCCTGAACGTCCGGCGCTCGCCCCGCCCACTCAGTTTCCGCGCGCCTCTTTGGCAGCTGGTCACATGGTGAGGGTGGGGGTAAGGGGACCGCTCTAGCTTGCGGCCTGTGTCTATGGTCGAGCCCGTCGTGTCCAGTTGCTCAAGACCGAGCTTGGGTGTATGGCGCCTCAGGACCCGGCTCCGTGGCCCCGATAACGGGCCGCCCCCCCAGCTCCTGGCCCGGGGTGAGGTTAGTGCAGCTCCTTCCCGGGAGTCCCCGCCCCCACGACTCCCCACGCGTGCATTTCGCGGGTTACGGAAGGGCTGCTCCAAGGGCAGGGTGTTGTGATATAGCCCTTTGTGGTCGTTGGGTGGGGGGGGGGTGTAATTTTAAGCGCTAGGGTGTGGGGTCTTTGGTGCAGGAATTGTGTCATGTGTACTCTCCTCTGTGCGGGGCGCGATAGACCCAAAGGAGGAGGCATTTTTTATTCTAAAGCCTCACGTGGCTGGAGGGGTTGGTCATTGTTACCTGAAGGACCGGCCAATAGAAGGTTGGGGAGGGGATGGGATACTGATGTTGTCTTTATGATTTCCTCTTGTGGGAGTCACTTTGGTGTTGCAGACTCTTACAGCTCTACCTCTAGAAGAGGATTTCGACAGTAGGAGTCTCTGTGATTGCAGGGTCTCTCCTGATCTGAGAATGGCCACCCCTCGTTATGAGCCAGTGGCTGAGATTGGTGTTGGTGCCTATGGGACGGTGTACAAGGCCCGTGATCCCCACAGTGGCCACTTTGTGGCCCTCAAGAGCGTGAGAGTCCCCAACGGAGGAGGCACTGGCGGGGGCCTTCCTATTAGCACAGTTCGTGAGGTGGCATTACTAAGGCGGCTGGAAGCTTTTGATCATCCCAATGTTGTCAGGTGAGAGGATGGTGGAGGGTTGGGAATGGGTAGTAAAAGGGAAAACACAGCCTGTAGATGGGGAGTGGTGGTCAGGAGAGAAATGGGGACAGATTAAAGTAGATTGATTGACCAGTGAATGACCATTTGTCCTGGCCAGGCTGATGGATGTCTGTGCCACGACCCGAACTGACCGGGAAACCAAGGTAACCCTGGTGTTTGAACATGTGGACCAAGACCTGAGGACTTACCTAGACAAAGCACCTCCACCAGGCTTGCCAGTGGAGACCATCAAGGTAAGTGAGGTAGACACACCTGGAGATGTGGATTGGGATCATTGTAGTAGAACTTATTGGAGTTAATAAGTATGGTGCCTAGTTTCCAGTGCCTCTGTACCTCTAGGATCTGATGCGCCAGTTTCTAAGAGGCCTTGATTTCCTGCATGCCAATTGCATCGTTCACCGAGACCTGAAGCCAGAGAACATTCTGGTGACAAGTGGTGGGACAGTCAAGCTGGCTGACTTTGGCCTGGCCAGAATCTACAGTTACCAGATGGCACTAACACCTGTGGTCAGTATAAAGGTGGTAGCCAAAATTCTGGTTGGCTTAGAGGTGTGATTGCCCATAGCAATTGAGAAGTCACATTGTGCTTTATGGTAACCCCTAAGACCCTCATCTGCTTTGTTTCCTTTAGGTTGTTACACTCTGGTACCGTGCTCCTGAGGTGCTTCTGCAGTCTACGTATGCAACTCCTGTAGACATGTGGAGTGTCGGCTGTATCTTCGCAGAGATGTTTCGTCGGAAGTAAGGGACCCAGATTCCTTGAACCATCTATAGAGTTTCATAAACCACATCCATACCTTGCCTGTCTTTTCACTTAAGTACTAGTGACCTCCTTGCCTATAACCAGAAGCTCTGAAATGTCCTGGAATTTGGAACTGCATGCATATCCCTTTATTCTCCACAGCTTTGATGTTGAGTTGTTAAGCAATAATCATACCACTACCATACCTTTGAAAATGATTGCTATCTTGTGTTCCTTCTCACCTTAGGCCTCTATTCTGTGGAAATTCTGAAGCTGACCAGTTAGGCAAAATTTTTGAGTAAGTGACTAACAAGGGAGAAAAGAATTTTCCATTCTGACTGGCTCTGCCCCTGGGCATGGGGGATGGAGGACTCTTCTGACCACAGTTCTCCTGTTCCTCATAGTCTGATTGGACTGCCCCCAGAGGATGATTGGCCCCGAGATGTGTCTCTACCCCGAGGAGCTTTTTCTCCCAGAGGGCCTCGTCCAGTGCAGTCCATGGTGCCTGAGATGGAGGAGTCTGGAGCACAGCTGCTACTGGTATTGGGCATAGGTGTGGGGCGAGATTGGGGTGAGAAACAGAGCAGTATGAGAGAGACCCAAACCATTGTAGTTACTGACACTTGGTTGTTGGGGGGCTGTAGTTTTTATTGCTGCTGTGAATGGCCATCCACAGAAGAGGGATGTAGAAAATAGGCCATCCCAGGTGGTGTTGGGGGTGGGCAGAAGTCTTTTGTTCCATGGTTTCCTGACCTTTGCCTCCCTTCTCAGGAAATGCTGACTTTTAACCCACACAAGCGAATCTCTGCCTTCCGAGCCCTGCAGCACTCTTATCTACAAAAGGGCGATGGTAATCCCGAGTGAGCAGTGGAGTGGCTGAACCGGACCAAGAGAAGGAAGAGAAGCTATCATTTCCTTTTCTTTGGACACTTCAGTGGAGAGACCCCCCTCCACTGATAAGGCAATCTCTGCCTTCATGTCTGAGGCTTTGGATACCCTTTTCCCCAACTTTTTACGGAGATTATTTTGCTGACTTAATGATGTCCTGTTCCTACTCCTCCTCTTGAGGCATATTCTTCTCCTGCTCCCTATTTCCCTACACTAAGGAGTAGGTCCTGTCTTCTCCTCTACCCTACCTTGGTACTGGGTTCCTTTTTTTATACAGGGGAAAAAAAGAAAAAAAAAAAAAAAAAAAAAACGGTCTTTTTTTTTTTTTTTTTTTAAATGGGTCTTCTTCTGACTGGCTTTGCCATTTGTCATCTGCCATTGGGGGATTTGGAAAAACCACTTGGAAGGAGGAACTTCCTTACAGAACCTTGGAGACTTTAAGTCACAGGGCCTAGGCAGTCAGTGGAGCTCCTTAGATGGCAGAGAGAAGAAAAGAATGCGTTGTTTCTTTGAACATGGGGTAAAATGACTTTTATTTTGATTTGCACTGAACTGTCTCAGACTGAGTCCTGCTGATTATAAGAAAGAATTCTTCATTGTTTTCTCTGGCATTGTCCTTGATCTACCTTTGGAGTCAGGCCAGGATGTACTGAGGTGGTCCAGCATGTAGAAGGGAGGAGAGGGTAAACAGCCAGGAATGACTTCAGTCCTCATCCCATGTACTCCATGGAGCTTCCCACATCTACTTAGAAGCAAAGTTTTCCTCTTTCCTATTACTTGCTCCGACCAAAATGTCCAACTGAAAAACCTGCTATTGAACTTGCTTTAGGGGATGTTGCAAAGGGTCTTTCCTTTTTTTCTCCAACAAAAAGGGCTATAGACCCTAGGTTTTCCCTAAGGGAGGAAGAAAAAGGGAGAGCAGGAGAGAAGTCGTAAAAATCCAGTCTCATAGAAAGGCACTGGGGTTGGCGCGAGGATCCTTCTGATTCCGAAATCTCATTGCTAACCAAATACCAAGGATCTGCAAAAACAAAGGGAAAAGAAATAAGCACCAATTCTGAATCTCCTAGGCTAAGACATGTTGAGAGAGTGTGTATGCATGGAAAATGTTACCTCTGTAAAACTGAAGAAGAGTCCAACACCCCCCAGGATTTTCAGGGCTTCATCTGAATGGTTAAGAAACTTTTCTCCACATACCTGGCATGTGGGGCTTCGATTTTTGCAGATCTAAGGATAAGATATGTATGTATGTTTGGAGGATGCAGTTACTAAGCTGTCCTATCCCAATACCTGTGGTTAATGTCCCTAGAAATTATTTATTAGTAACTAAGCAGTATTCTGGGAGCCCTGGTAGCACAGTGGCTAAGGCACTTGACTGCTAACCAGAAGGCTGGTGGTTCAAACCCACCAGCCACTCCTCGGAAGGAAGATGGGGCAATCTACTTCCGTAGTGATACTGCCTTGGAAACCCAAGGAGGGGTCGCTATGAGTTGGGCCCAACTCGACGGCACATAACCACAACAACAAGCAGTATTCTAGGAGCTCTGGTGGCATAATGCCTAAGGCATTTGCCTGCTAACAAGCAGGCTGGTGGTTCAAATCCACCAGCCACTCGTTGGAAGGAAGGTTGGGCAATCTACTGTAGTGATGGTGCCTCGGAACCCAAGGAGGGGTCACAGAGTCAGGTCTGACTTGATGGCAGTGTGCTGTGTTTTGTTTTGGGTTAAGCAGTATTCTTAGCTAATTCCCCAGGCTCTGTCTATCCCCTTTCCCTTTCCCAACACACACACAGCCCCTCTACAAGAGTTGCTGCAGGGAGAGGCAGTAACATACAAACCCTTCTATCTGCTCATTTGGACACTGTCCATGCTATTTTTTACCTCCCCCCTTCACTCACTGCACGGCATGAAGCATAATCTTGTTGATACTGGCGTGTAAGGTTGAACAAGCCACAACAATCAAGACTTCTTTCCAGTTCATCCCGGGTTGTGTTGCTCATGACCCACCAAGAAGCATTGATGACATCTGTCTGGAGGATACAGGCAAAGGGAAACAATTACTTGATGCTGGTAACGTTAAATACCCCCTACATCCTGGTCCCAGGTAAAGTACCTCAGTTTCCCTTTGTCAGCACAGGGGTCAATATCCTTCAGAAGCATGAAAGTACATGTTGTCACAATTATGTAACCATGATAAATACCCATCTCAGACTCATCTAAATCATCTTCATGAAAAATTAACCAGACTTCCAAAGACAGCAAAGGGCTTAAGTGTCTAGAAGTAGTGAACCTAAAGATGATCTTTGGATAGTGGGAACCAGACTGAGAAGAAGTAGGTAGATGGGTTTGGGGGGGGGGGGCAGGCAGTAGCTAGTACCTTGAAAGGTATCCCTATACCCCTTACCTGTTTGCTTCTGTTAATAGCCAGACATGAGCAAGAGATTCCAAACTGGAAGACAAAGACCAAACCAAGGATGATCATGTACTGAGGAGAGTTAAGGAAAAAATAGTCCTAGATACCTTTATAAGGAGTTTTGGTAGCACAGTGCCCAAGGCATCTGACTGCTAACCAGAAGGAAGGTTGGTGGTTCAAACCACCAGCCACTCCGCTGAAGCAAGACTGGGCAATCTACTTCCATGAAGATTTACCGCTTCCCAAGTCCAATGGGGGTGGTTAGGAGGAGGAAGCGACTCAGCAGTGAGTTGGTTTGTGTTTTGGTTAGATCCCTTTATAGCACACCTACAATAATTCATACCTCTATTTTCACCTAAGACAACAGTGACAGGTGAAAACAAAATCATCAGCTCTTGTATAGCGCAGGGCAAATCCCTGAAGCCCTATAATCTATAAGTTCTTCCTAGACTAATCAGTCCTTTTAAGAAACCTGGTTACCCCAACACTTCAGGTCAGGATACAAAAAACAGCAGAACCTGATGGTGGTTGACAGCACCCACCAGTCCAGCCACCGCGATAAGGAGAAGGAAGACTCCCACAGCAATGACTCCCCCGATGATGTGGATGCTGGACACCAGACCCAGACCCTTACCCCAAGCAGCCACTCCAATGAGCAACAAGCCCACGAGCTACGGGAAACAGATTGAATTAGTGCAGATACATCTCAGGATACTAGCGTGTTATACAACCAAAGGCCAATCAAGGTTGGGAGTTTGGGCAGAAAGGGAACATTGAATTGTGTGTGACTAGGGGGGGAAAGGAGAGGGGGTTCTGGACCAGGAGCTGTCGTGGATGCTCCTCCTATAGGAATTCACATAGCTGAATAGGGGTGGGAGGTAAAGGAGACTAAATATAAAAACTTGTATTTTGGGGAGAAATTGAATCTCACAGGCCAGAAGCATGGGCTATTTGCCCACAGCCTTTCGCGCCTCTCCCCCCACCCCTAGACAAACCGCTCATCACCGGAACTCTCCCCTCGTCCCACGGAAGTCCCCATAAATTCCTTCTTCGCCGGAAGTTCCCGGAAATCTTCCTGGAACCCCCAACACTCTTTTCCCCACCGGAAGTCCCCTGGAGATTCTCCCCACTCGCCTTTCTGCCCTGAAGCTCCCCCATCTCCAAAACCTCACCATGTAGACCACATTAAGGGCGCAGAGCGCATTCTTGGAGCAGGCAAAGCCGCCGCAAACCATCTTGCCAGCTCTGGGGACCCAAGTAGTCCCAGAAACTAGGGGGGAGGGTCTTGGAAACCGTGTTCTAGGACTCCGACAGCTTCTGTCTCTTTAAATCGAGTCCAGCCAAACCCAAGCCTCTGCGCCTGCCCCGTCCCACCCAGCCTCTGCATTGGCGAGGCTCTAGATTGGCCTGAATGCCAATCAATCCGCATTATGTCACTGACTCGCCTCCCGGCCCCTCCTATAGGTTCTTCATTGGATGAAATTTAAAATTGAGGACAGGATTTCCAGAGATTCTCATAGAGACTAGATCCTAAACTTAAAAACCTCGAATTGAAAGCGGATCTTTCTGTGGTCGGACCTGGCAAACGGGGCTAATGCAAGGGAGAAGGTGAAGAAGAGAGAAAAGGTGGGGCTTCAAGAGTCGGGTTAAAGGGCTCCTCCTTTCGAGTGAACGCTATTCCCCGCCCCTTTCCTCTTGCCCTGAGATGACCGCATGATGACGCCATTATTTTGTTGTTGTTGCGTCACATTCGGGAACACTCAAAGAGAAGATATTGCGCCATTTAGTCTGGTTACAGAGACCTTTTAGTAGACACAGCAATACTCGGCAGATCCTCGCACGTTTCAAGTATGTCCACCAGTGTATCTCTCCTGTTCCGAATCTCCTAACAGGGTGTAAACATGCCAGGAAATCCATGCGGAAGGATAACAGCCTCAGGCCAGTGCACTCCTGTACGGGACAAAGCCACAGGTGCACACACCTGTGTGCTCAGCGTCTTCAGAGCACACAACTACCTGATCCAGGCTTGCAAAAAAATGATAAAGGCAGGTGTCAAGGATGTGACTAAGCATGAAGGAAAGGAGGAGCCTCCACATTTTCACTCTGAGGTGGGCGTAATGGGTGACCAGTAAATGTTTATTATCGAATAAGTTTTTTAAGATACAGATCTTTTCATGGGCGTGGGGAAGGGCATAGTTCCCTTTCCCCCCAGGAGAAAGCAGCAATCTTTGTTGAAACAAATGAAAAGATTCCCTTCAACCCCCAGAATGATCTAAATTTGTGTACACTCAGACCATATGACTAAGTAAGCAGTATACTCTTATGGTTAAAAGACTGCATGGGTTCCAACTTCACCACCTATTAGCTGTGTAACCCTTAGCCAATTATGTAAGCTCTCTGTGCCTGTTTCCTTATTGTGAAATGAGGATAAATAACAATACCTACCACTTGGGTTGTTGTTAGGTTTAAACCTTATATAAAGGTTTATGTAAAATGCTTAGAGCAGTACCTGGCACTGTTCTAAGTAAACACTCAATGTTGTTATTATTCAGTGCCATTCTATAGGTGCCAGTTGGTAATCCCAATACCAATTACTTTATCTGCACCTACACAAATAATCACATAGTTATAATCATCTGTCCTTCATAACTCAGTATCCAGAAGATACACAGGAGAAAAGGTATTTGGGAAACACCTTCCTCCCCCAAGCATCCTTACTTTCATCCTGTCCTCAATTCTTCATCCATGCTCTCCTCTTTCAAGTCTTAAGCCAAGGGCAGGACAATGATTTTAAGGAAAAAGGGAATTGCGTATCAAAAATCTTAGTTGTGTAGTTAAGTGGGAGGAGTATCAGCCTTAGAACAAGAAGATAAGATCCAAATCTTCATTTCACCTCCTCTGGTCTCTCTGAGCCTTAGTGTCTTTTTCTGCAGAATAGGGATAATAATCCTACCCCTGAGGACTGCCGTAGGATAATATATATGAAGTGTGTTATAAACTTTGAAGTGTTACAGATGGTTTAATTATTGTGAAAAACGAAATTGAGCATAGAGCACAGTCTGGTTACAGGTTACTATAGAACTTATTCTCCCCATACTTACTTGATCTTCTTAAGTAGCAGGTCAGTGAGGTAGGTGACTGAGGAAGAGTTGCAAGATGTGAGTATACAGGGCTCATGGGGATATGCAGAGTGGATGGTGAGTACAAATGTAAACTAGGGTGGAGGACTATGAGGGTGACAAACCAAGTGTGTAGAATTCCTGTAAGAATTTGGGATTGCATCTGGGACCTGACTTGCCACATCCCAGAAGCAACACCCATCTTAATTACTACTTCACACAGAAGGCCCTAGTAAGATCTTGTTAAGATCTCTCCAGCTACCTGTCTGGAGAATCATAGTAAGCTGGCAGGACTGATAGGCTGACACTAGAGGGGGTAAGAGGTATAGGAGGTAGTGCTGTCTCAAGCAGTGGGTTTGAAACTCACCAGTCAGGAAGTGAGGCGACAGATAAACGGAAGGGTGGGCAGGGGCAGGAGTTCTGGGGCACAGCAGAAGGGGCCTTCTGAGGCTGGGGCTTGTAGGGCCATGGCTTTTGGGGCCAGAGGTTGCTTTTAGCCTGGCAAGACAAATCTAGTCACCATGAATGCCCAGAGGCAGCTGGCTGTAGCAGCAGTGAGAGCAGAAGTTAAACGACATGAGGTAGCCAAACAGGCTCTGAGCCGCCTCAGGAAGCTTGCAGAGAGAGTGGGTGACCCTGAGCTACGAGGCAGCATCCAGGCCTCACTGGACAGCATACGAGGTAAGAGGATGGTCAGCTCCCAACTAGAGTGTGCGGGGGGTCCAGGAGGGGCATGGAAGGACTAGCCGAGTCATTCATCATTTCCCAATCAGCTACTTCCTAGTCCCCAAGACAGAGCTGGGCTCTAGGGAAGAATACATCTGTGGAGGATGGAAAAAGACCTGGGAGGGATCATTTTTCCTCTTTCCACAGCTCTGATCTTTCTCCCAGGGGATCAAAATGCAGGTCAGTACTGAACTGACCCCCTTGGCAATTGAGAAGTGGGAGAGCATGGGGAAGAAGGTCTGTGACAGACCACTTGTAGAGTTGGTCCCTGCGCTGAGGAGTCCAGAGCAGGAAACAGTTTGGTGTGGGAGGTTCTGGGACTAGATAATGTATTAATTCCCAGGACCCACTAAGGATCAGTGACCTCTTGTTCTCCAGTTGTTCACACACACACACACACACACACACACACTCTGAAATACACCATGAGAATCTCAGGCTCCTAAGCCCACACTAACACAACATGTTCTGCCCAGCCGAATTGCAGAGAAGTCCCCAGAACTCTTTTTGGTCCCCTCTCCTCCCCATGCTCCTGTTCCTGTCTTCCCCACACACACCTTCCGCTCTACCTCCTTAGTGCCATTAGAGCAAGTGATGACAACACAGGGAGGAAGTGCTGCCATGGCAACACCATCCGCCACATCCTCCTGCCCCCACCCCAGCCTTCAGTCCTGTGGTGGGGCCCTGGCAGGGACAGCTTTTCTCTATTCACAAGGCCCCACCACTAGGGAAATGGTGGTACTGGAGGTTGTCTCCAGGCTACTTTCATCTCATTCACCTCTGAGATGACAAAGGGCTAACAAAAAAGCAAGGCTGCTTTACTCATGGAAAGTGTCTGGGAGAAGCCATGTTCCATGGCATCTTAGTCCCTTCCAGCCACTTCAGTCCTCTCCATTCTTAGCTACCTATCTGGGGAATCGGGAGATGTTCTCATCAGGAACACCTCTTGCCAGATCTCTCTCATTGTGTAGGCCACCAGAGCATAACTTGGGGAAGGAATGGTTTGTATTCATAGAGGAGCAGTCTGACCCCCTTCCACTGCCCCTCCCTTTCTGGGGCTAGTGCCCCTCTCTCCTCCAGTTCCCCACACCTTGTTTGCCAGGAACGACCCCTAAACATTTCCTAACAGCTTTGGAAAGGCTGACCTGGGGGGAGATGGCTCTTGGTGCCTCTTAAGGAGGGACTTTAAGTCCCACCCCCTTAGAAAAAAGAGGTTTAAGTGTTTGTTCAGGTACGGGCCTCTGCTTAGCTCTGGGAAAGGCAGGTGAGGAGAACTGAAGGCTGAAACCTCAGAGGAAAATCCCCTCCTAAGTGATTTGCCCCACTCCTTTCTTAAAAGTCAAGATTCTGTTCTCATTGAACATAAGTGAAAACTGAGGTCACCAAAGGACGGAAAATTAAACCAGAGCCAACAATTTTCCTTCACCCTTGTCTTCAAAACATAGGACTGAAGGGTATCCTGACCTGGGGATGGTGTCATCTGGGTTCTACAGACTGTGTAAGGGAGGGAGGTGGTGAGAAGCTGCTGACCACCGGTACAGGACCACCTAGGTGTTGAGTACAGGCCTCTGGGAGAACAAAGCGCGCCCCGAATCGTGGTTCCACCCCCCCACTTTCACCCCCAACGGCCGAGCACGCCGCTGGCTCCTGCCTCCAAGAGCCGCCCACGGCCGCACTTTTAATAGTCTAGGCTGCGTCAGGAGGGTGGGACGCCAAATCAGGGGAACGTTAAGACTCCCCGAATCCTGGCGAGGGGTCTCCAAGGCCTCTCCGCTCTCGTCACCCAGCCCGGCTGCCGCCCCCACCCCCCCCCCGCCCTGCCTCGCGTCCCAGCCTCTGTTCCTCGCCTGCCTAACCCTTTCACTCTTTTCCCCAGGCTGGAGAACTGCGAGCCTTGGACTCCAGGGTCCCTAGCGGGGTGGGGGACAGAGCAGACGTTTTCCATTCTGCCTACCCACTCTTTAACCTTCTAAAAGAATCCCACCCCGCAAACCGCAGGAGCCTGGACAGGAACCCAGGAGAGCTGGTCTCCCGCTGTCTCCACTTGGGGGGGGGGGCGTCCTTATCGTCGGGCAGCTAAACCCTCACATTGGGTAACCAGGTGCGAGGATGGTGCCTTCACTAGCTCAACATCTTCTGGCGGGTTCTCCACCCACCAGACACATGGATCTCTCCTCGCTGCTTATCCCTGCTGTTTCTGAGGCACTCTAGGAGCTGCAGTTGCTATGGAGACCGGATGCATTTTGGTGTGGGGGGTGCTGTTAATCGGTATACATAGCCCTTCTCCCTCCACCTCGAGTGGAGCCCTTGACTCCTGGGCTCCCTGAGTACTCAAAACTCTCCCTTCCCTTTCCCCTCCTTCCTACCCTGCTAAATTCCACGTTTGTCCCCATCCCAGGGGAACACTTTCCAAGTTCACTCTGGGACAGTCGGGCTCAGGTCGAGGCTCTGTTAGTGTATCGCGCGCGCGCGCGCGCGCGCGCGTGTGTGTGTGTGTAGGATACTGGGTCAAGGGGAAAGGAACGTGTCTAAAGTACCTAAGGGAGAGGAAGGGTCCTGTGAAAGGGATTTCAAGATTCCCTACTTTCCCACTTCAGCTTTCTCAGAATTGACAGTGACCCCGAGTTTGCTCCGTTTTCCTTGC